CCGTGTATTAATTGACTATATATGACTATATATGACTAACTGTGCAATTCTAAGCTGCATTACACCCTTCTAAGTCCATTGAATCCAATGGATTCAGAACAGCATAACTGTTCAGGATTGTACTATGATTCTGGCTAAAAATAAACTTGTTTGTGCTCTTCCCTTCTCACTAGTGGTATTTGGCATGTAGAGCTGGTAGTTTTGAAGAGAGCCACTTTCTGTGTTCAGCCTAAGAATGGATCTGCTCATTTTCATGCGGTAACATATTTGTGTCTCCTCTGTGGGATTTTTGTAGAAACCTGTGGTTGATCCACGGATCTCTGCCTCTCTTCTAGGGTAACCTCTCCTCTTTCAATAGAGCCCAACTGTTAAGTGCCATTTCCCCCCTTCTCCAGTTTCTATTAGGAGTGAAACTGACTAGATCAGAAAGGATCTGGTCTACTAAATGACATCCCTTCCATGCAAGTAAGAAAAGTCCCATCAATCAGGTACAATAAAATGAGCAAATTCTCCTGCTTCCCACTGCTGTGGCAATGCTTTCCTGTTTTACATTTTTCTCTTACAAGCTTTGATGCTGGATCAGGGCTAATAACCATGGTAACAGTAAAAGGAACAGTCGTTCCTGTTGCGCCGCAGAAATAATTATCTGTACACAGCCATTCCCTTGTAAATGTCTCTCCATCATTATCTTTTATCATTAATCCGTCAGGAGGGGCCTCAGCCCTTCCCTGTTAATTCCTGAGCCTTTGAAGAGTGTGTATATGTAGGATGTGAGTTTATGTAAATAGCTTTGTAAATACTAGCACAGCCCATACCAAGAGCACTGCGGCCATTTCCTAGACCTGTGTTTATAAATAAGGGCAAAAGCTAAAGACATGAGAACTGCTTCCAGAATTTCCTTCTTCTCTCTGATGCAGTCCCAGGTGGTAAAATGGGTAACCTTCTGAGGCAGTGCATACTCTGCCTTTAACTCCTAGACTTGATTTGTGTTGTTTGGTGATGCTGGGCCCTCCATAATGTGAATTCCTTATTCACATCCTGTCTGCACTTTAAATAAAGATCTTGTCTGTATATTGTTTGAATTGTGACCTGTAATGGAACAAATAAATATCCTGTATAGCATCTCTCCAGTGTCTGTGTCTTGTTTGTCCCAACTGCTCTGAGCAAAGCAAAGGGGGACCTGTAGGGCCGCCAACTCCCAGGTGGGGGCTGGCAATTTCCGAGTATTGTAACTGATCTCTGGATGACAAAGATTGCTCCCCTGGAGAAAAATGGCTGCTGTGGAGGGTGGACCTCTGTGATCACACGCCCGCTGGCCTCCCTCTCCTCCCCGGGCTCCGTCCCCCAGAATCTCCCAGTATTTCCCAAACGGTAGTTGGCAGCCCTGGGAAATGCAGAAGGAAGAAATAGTGAATCTGATAGAGTCTCCCACTCCATCATAAGACTTTGGAATGGAAAGAAGTCCTAAAAGAGAAAAGTGTGTGTGTGTGGGGGGGGCTTAAGGAGGAAAAGTGGGAGAGGTGGAAACTAGGAACCTTGGGAGGCGCTTCTCTCCTCCCCCCCCCATTTTTTGGTTTTGCAGATTTTTAGCATTTCAGAACATTAGTCCAAGGGGGCAAGTACTGGCTCTTTGGGGAATTTTTTAAAAAAATCACTGGGAGCTTTGAACACAGAACTCCCAAGGTGTATCTGGTTTGGCTGTCAAAGAGAGAGACTGGGCATCACTGAGGACGCACTGTTCATAGGCTGGATATTCTTACAATGAGGTTAGGTAAAGGTAAGGTAAAGGTTCCCCTTGCTCGAAAGCCAGTTGAATCCAACTCTTAGGATTGCAGTGCTCATCTCCGTTTCCAAGCCGAAGAGCCAGCGCTGTCCGAAGATGTTTCCGTGGTCATGTGGCCGGCATGACTAGACACAGAGGTGCACGGAACCTTCCGGTCTGCAGTTCAGCATCTTAACCACTTGAGCCACCGCAGCTCCACCCAATGAGATTAGGTGCATGAAAATGAGAGGTGGCACAAAGGGAGGAGAATGCCTTCTTCCTATTTTTATTCTGTTCTTCCCCATGACCTGGAGAGCCCAGGCTGGCCTGATCTCATCAGATCTTGGAAGCTAAGCAGGGTCAGCCCTGACTAGTATTTGGATGGGGGACCTCCAAGGGATACCAGAGTCGTGATGCGGAGGCAGGCCATGGCAAACCACCTCTAAATGTCTCCTGCCTTGAAAACCCTACCGGATTGCCATAAGTCAGCTTTAACTTGACAGCAAAACACATCAAAAGAACTTCCTCCCAGGTGCTGAGGGCTGTGGACATTGATGTCCCCTCCTTCATTTTGACCTCACAATACTGTGAGGTAGGTTAGGCAGAGAGAGACTGAGTGCCCCAAGGGCAGCCAATGAGCTTCCCGGCTGAGTGGGTGCTCCCTGGTCATTGCAGTCTTGCCATTATCCCACACACCTTCTTACTCCTTCCACATGGAGGTTTTCAGCTACCAAATTGCTGCTGATTTTTGGAACATCCGGTCACCCTTCTCCCATCCTTATGAATCCACCCGACCATTATGGTCATCTTCAGAGGCCCTGCTTCAGGTGCCCCGGCCTTCTGAGATGAGGAACGTAGCAACCTGGGAGACGGCCCTCTCAGTCATGGCACCAGAGATCTGGAACTGTCCCCAGGGAGATTCTTCTGTCCCTCTCTGTTGCTGTTTTCCACCGGTGGGTGTAGACTTTCTTGTTTCGTTTGGTATTGAACTCATGAACCTGCCTTATACGGAATCAGACCACTGGTCCATCAAGGTCGGTATTGTCTATTCAGACGGCAGAGGTCTGTCACATCACCTACTGGCCTGATCCTTTTCACTGGAGATGACGGGGACTGAACCTGGGACCTTCTGCATGCAAAGCACATGCTCTGCCACTGAGTCAGAGTCCCTCCCCCATTCCCTCAATGATCCCTGCTTCATGACCAATGTTTTCCTGTTTTGCAACTGTTTTAAGCTCTTTTAAAAATTGCTTTAATGATGTATGTTTGGGAGGGGGGTTGATTTTAACGGTTTTATAATGTAATTTTATCATGTACATTTTAAATTGTTAGCCCCCTTGGCAGCCCTTGTAAGGGCAGAATAATAAACTAATAATCCTTATACACTCTTACCCGAACTTGCTTCTCAAGTGCAGGATAAGCACCATATCAAACAGTCTGGAGAAGAGGTCATGTTATCCAATGTCTCCTCCACACCAGCACCATTTCCCTTCCCGCATCCACACAGCCGCCATTGCTCCTGTGCCCCTGATCACTATAGAGTTATAACATTATAATGACCTATTTGTAACAATGCACTAATTTGTCCAGGTCCTGAACTAGCGCTCTCATTCACCAGTGTCTGACTTGGCTGAAACTCCTTCCCTCAACCCCAGGGAGGGGTGGGAGCTGAGCACCACTCCATTCCATCTCCTCTCCCCTAGCTCTACTCTCTTGTAAGATGGGAGCTAATGCCTACTCTTCCCTTCAAGCATTTTAATGGCTCATGACATATCTGGGGCATGCCAAGTATCTTCCCTCTACCAGAAGCCCTGTGGGGACAGGGCTAAGCCCTTGAGAGACCAATAGTGTCCTTGGAGCAATCTCTCCCCCTACCACCACCATGGAGCCACTAGACTGCTGATTGTCAGACAGTCAGATGTTAAAAGGACAACTATCATTGATTAGCTGGTTGGCATGTGGATCTTTACAGGGCATGTCCATGACTCTACTAGGCCTGATGGATGCCATCCCCTGTCTCAGCATCTCTCTGAATTTCCAGCTTTCATTTTAAAGGGTGAGTCTCTAGTCTTTTTTGCAGAGGTATACATTTCCCCTTATATCTCTGTAGCAGAAAGGGCTAGAGACAGAACTTTTAAAAATAAAAGCTGGGAACTCAGACAAACTGGTACATTATTGTGATAGGCCATTATAATGCTACAGCAAATATGCACTTTCTTTTTTTTAAAGAAAGCCTAGAAAACCCTCTTGTGAGGCACTGGGGACTGGGGGTGGCAGCCATAAAGGCTGAGGCAAGGAGAGTGCAGGGAAAACTGCTGTGCATTTGCAGTAGCAACAAGAGCTACATGGAGAATGATTTGTCGCAGCTGCCCTTGTTTGTTTGGAAACTTTTTGACAGAGAAGTTTTAACATAATGTCTGGTATGTTCAGACTTAAAGAGAAGTAAGAGAGATTTAAAGGTTTCTTTAATACCCCCCCACACACACACACACCTTGATCTAAATTGCATAAAGTTATGAAACTACAAAATAAGTCACTAATCACTTGCTACACTGTGCATGTACATACACATTCAGCAGACTTGGGATTTATTATTTTTAATTCCACCATTCCTCCAAAGGGATCCAGATGGTATACATGGTTCCCCCACCACCACCCTACCCCTCACCCCAACTCCATGAGGTAGGTTAGACAGAGACAGAGTGACGGGCCCAGGGTCACCCAAGCAACTGTTCCCTGCCCGAACAGTTATTAAAGAAGAGATTGGTTTGTTATGTTCCAAATATTGGCAGACATTGTACCCATTATACAGATCAAACCAGTCAGAGCATACCGTTCTGAATCTAAGGCCAGTAGTGCCTATTTGAACACCTTTTTCATATAGCCACATTTGGTATCAATCTTTAACGCCCCAATATTCCTGTGAAGAACAGCTGTACAGCCCCCAATATTCCTGTGAAGAACAGCTGTACAGCCCCCAACAGGTTCCTCCGTTGGATAAATGCACTTTTCTGTGCCCAGCATAGTTTCCTTTGCCTCAGGTTTGGCTGAATAAAAACCTATTTTGTGGTCCATTGTTTCAGATAACAGTCTCTAGAGTACTGCCCAGATAGCAAGGACTACAGGCCGCCACCCCCCATGTCCCCAGTAGAATGAATAAATGAAAGTCACCAGAATCCCAGAGGAAGCGAATGTTTTGTTCAAAGTTCTCTTGCGCTCCCACTGAACTCTCTCCAGCCTAACAGGGATCTTCCCCCACTGACTTCCCCAGGACCTCGTTCAACTCTACATCAGGCTCCCTCTGTAGCACCTTCTGCTGCAGTTCCGAGTAGAAGTCGACCCCTTCGGAGACGGAGGATAGAGGTTTCTCCTGGAACTGCTCTCTGTGGTGGAACTGGGACTGCATTAAGCATTGGTGGTGCTGAGACTCCTCTGCACTGAAGCTCCCATCGCAGCTTTTCTGGTGGTTGCGTTTGAATTCCAGCACTGTCTTGGTGTACGTGTTGAGAGTTGTAACCGCGGAAGCCATGCAGCAAGTGAAGGAGGCCCAGGCCATGCTAGAGGAGAAGAAGAGGGAGAATAAGGGTTTATTTCCCAGTTAAGCAGAATGCTGCTTGTGCATACAAACAGGAGACATGATCTCATGCTGTGTGGCAGCAGGGGTACCACTCTTGGCAGGCAGAGCCAGGCTTCTGATTGCTGCATATGTAGGGTTGCCAGCTGCAGGTTGGGAAATATCTGGAGAGTTTGGAGGTGGAGCCAGAGGAGGGCGGGGTTTGGGGAGGGGCGGGACTTCAATGGGGTACAATGCCACAGAGTCCACCTTCCAAAGCAGCCATTTTCTTCAGGTGAACTAATCACTGTCCCCTGGAGATCAGCTGTAATAGCGGGAGATCTCCAGTTACCACCTGGAAGTTGACAACCCTATGCATACGCCTTCCTTCCCCCCTCTCCCATTAGAAGCTCTCTATCTGAACAGCTGTGGAGGACTCCTCTGGTGATGCCTAAAGTAGAAGCCAAGAGCTTCACAAATAACTTTCATTTCTGAGCAATATTTCACAGGGAGCCACAGGGCTATTTTTGGGCTGGAACGCACAGGAACGGAATTCTGGTTGGCTTCAGAGTTGGCCACGCCCACTACAGCCAAAACCTCCATGTGCGTGGCTACAGAGGGAAGGCCTGGTGAGCGGACCCCCCGCAACTCCAAGGTGGGGGGGCCCTGGAAGGATCGGGAGGCATTTAAATGCCTCCCTGGGCCTTCCCTGGCCTGTCCAAGGGCTGGCTTGCCTGGGTGCCCCGCAGCCACGGAGCACCCAGGCAAGCCAAGGGAAGGCAGTTTAAACTGCCTCCCCTCCCCTCCAAGGGCCAACTTGCCTGGGCACCCTGCAGCCGCGGGACACTCGGGCAAGCCAAGGGAAGGCATGGGGTGTGCCTGATATGCTAATTAACTATTCTGTCAGGGTTGTGGCCTAATATGCTAATGAGTTTCTGCTGTTGGGTGTGGCCTATTATGCTAATGAGTTCCCACTGGGCTTTTTCTACAAAAAAAGCCCTGGAAATGGTGTTCCCTGGCAGAGTTCCCCTCCCTTGTAATGGTGGGTTACATAAATCATGGAGGCGGACACAGAAAAGAACTTGCATAAAATAAATACTTTTCTGTGCATTTGCTGACTTTCCTTCTAGAAAATTAAATTTAAATAAAAAATGGATGTCTTTACTATTGGCTACTTCCAACTAAGACTGAGGAAGTCAACCAGGAGCCACTCGGAAGCTCCTGGTGATGGGAAATGGAGGTGAGGGGGAGTCTGGGGGAAGGGAACAGCCCCCCCCCAACCCCTACACAATTCAATGTACTAAGGAAGTGTCACCATCAACATTTAAAATATGAAATTGTTTTTTTCCAAATTGATCTGCTAAATTGTTTAAAAACAAGTGGCTGGAAATTGGAATATGGGTTAGGGAGATATTTCCCCTAGGGGATAATGTTGCAGTTTCACTGTTTATATTTGATAATCCTGTTTAAGGACAAGATTGCATTACTATTACATATTCTATTTTGTTCATGTCCTCCCCAGGTCGTCTGCAAGGACTTCCACAGAGACATGCCTTGCAAGTTCTGTGCTCTGAATGAACTCAATTTCCAGGTGTGCCTGATTTAGATTGGAAGCCGAGAACACGTGGAGAGTGGGTGCTTAAGCCCTCCACCCAACCCTGGGCTCCATTTTCTCACTTGAAAAGGCCTTGGAAAGCCACCGCTTGCCTCAATGAGGAAACCTATGCGTACTGGGCTACATGTAGGCTTCCCCAGCAGGACAAATAACACTCCAAGGCATTTCAGATGAGGCAAATGGCACTGGGGGGTGGGAAGAAGGACAGGAGAGTAATGCAAGGTGCAATTAAGCTCAAAGGCAACCTATTCTTCAGTTTTTAAGAGTGTGGAGGAGACAGGAGACTGCTGTGATTCAGTGGCAAGGGGAAGGCATGCACAATCTTTGTGTGTGTCCAGAACACCACTCTAGCATTGAAACAACTCCTGGGCTAAGGCCTGGTGAGGTCTTGGCACAAATGAATCGTAGAGGCCAGTTACAGAGGAGTAGCCATGTTAGTTGGTTGTGGAAAACCAGAGAAGATATTTTGTGCTGCCATTAAAGGTCAATTATTTTTATTGTAGAATTCATGGCTAAAGTCTATTTCATCAGATGCTTGAAGAGATTCTTTGGTCAGCAGATACAACTGTACAAATGGATACAGAAGGAGGAAAAATTGAACAGTAAGGTTAAAGGGCCATGGAATGCAATAGGTACATTTTGTGACATTTCTACGCAAAACTCAAAAGTACAAGCTAACCACAGTGGACATTAACAACAGCCGTAATGGTGTCTGTTTAAGCCCTGGCTAATGCAATTACATCTACTGTTAAATTCTAATGCAGCAATTATTTATGCTGCAATAAATCTGCTAGTCTTTGAGGTGCCACAAAACTCCTTTTGGTTTATAAGGGGGGAGGACAATTACAATACCCATTAACATTTATTCTGCCATGGATTTATGATCCCTTGCTGTGAATAATGTACAAAATTTTGAAAGAAGTAAAAATAAAAGCAAATTATATCCCATGAAATGGAAGGTTATTTCCCAGGTTATGTTCATATTGTGCTGTTTAAGAAGCAACAGTGGAAGTGGAAGGGGCAAGCAGCAAAATTGTACCTTGCTCGGGGTGACCGAATCCCTGGACCCAGCCCTCCCCATTAGGGATTCTAAGGGAACTTCGACAAGAACTATCGGGAAGTATCAACTGGGCGGGGACTTGCCACTGTATAGGAGCTGACATACACTGCCATCCAAAGGAGAGTTACCCCTTCCTTAACTCATTGACTTCAATGGACTTAGAAGGCTGTAACTTTCCTTAGAATTTCACTGTTACGATATCAGACTGTTCCATCTAGGGCAGCATTTCCCATCCTATGGGTCCTCACCCCAAAAATGGGTTGCAAAGCCTGTGGAAGTGGGTCCCAGGCTTTTGTGGGTTTATTGATTTCTTCATGCTCTGTTTTTAATCGGGTCACCATACCAAGCAAACTTGGAGTTGTAGCTCATCATACCAAAAAGGTTGGGAACCACATGTACAGGAGCATTGTTTTCAACAGCAGCAAGTCAAATGTCCCTGAAAGGTAACCAGCGGGGCATGAAGAGGATGATGCCTCCCTGTTTGTCCCCAGCATCTGCCTTTGCACACAGAGGTTCCATTTAGCAATCATGGCTATTAACCAGCAATAGACTATTGTCTGTGTATTTGTCTCGTCCTTGTTAAAGCCACCTAAACTACTGCCCTTCATCCCATGTCGTTAGGTACACATTATGTAAAGAAGAATGTCCTTTTGTCATTCCTAACTTTGCCCTTCAGCTTCGCCAGCTGATTATAAATTATAGTGTGCCAGTATTACGAGAGGAAGGAATGTCCTCTCTCTCTCTCTCTCTCTCTCTCTCTCTCTCTCTCTCTCTCTCTCTCTCTCAACAAAATTAATTATTTTATAAACCTGTATCACTACCCCCTTCCCAGTAGATATCATTTGGGGTGAGATTCAAAAGTTTATTAAGCAGCTATTTCTTCCCGGGGAGCTGATCTCTGTCAGCTGGAGATCAGTTGTAAAAGTGGGAGATCTCCAGGCCCCACCTGGAGACTGGAAACCCTACACTGAAAATGGACCCAGTTGGAAGCAAAAGTGGGTTGGCTGTTCCATGGAAATATGTAGCCTGTGATCAAGGTGTTTTCCACATGGGGATAGGCTTGTGTAGTTTGCCTGTTGCTGCTGCAGACACAGTGGCAACAGGGCTTCTACATGGCAGGTTTCCTGCCTTACAGTCCCTACTAGAAGGCTTCCCCCCAGTTTTTTTTAGAGTAGGCAACTGAATATTGTTGCCATACTCTCTGTATCAGGTCATCTGATTCCTAACTTCCTTTCTTTTTTTAAAGAAAAGTTTCTAGGCCCTTTCAGAGATATGTCTTTTCCCTTATATCTCAAACAAAAACAACAAAAGGGGTTAGAGACTTTTTAAAAGAGAAGATGAAAGCTGGGAATGCAGAGAATCTGATACACAAATTTGTTATCACAGTATGATATTCAGTTGCTGATTAGGGTAGAAAATGGCCACCACAGGGACATGGGCAGGGAAATGGCTGCCGTATGGGTGGGACTGAGGAAATCCAAAGTTTCTTACCCCCCTGGAAGCCAGAGGTCATTTTGGGGGGGGGAACGCGGGGGAACGCAGTTCCACCGGGTGAGGTGCAGGGGGGCGGGGCACATGACGAAGCCCCGCCCCCTGCTTCCGGCCGCCCCGCTTCCAGCCCTCATTCAGCCAGGAGGAGGCAGGAGAAGAGGGAGGGTAAGTTGCTTCCTCCCCGCCTCTCCCCACCCCTGCCTGCCTGGGGCCTGGGAGGGCCTTGGCGGGGCTTCCTCGCACTCCCGCTGGCCTTGCAGGTCCACTGCCGGGCCCCTGATGTCAGGGTGTGTAGCAGTATATGCTAATGAGTTATGCTAATGAGTTCCCCTAGCTCTTTTTCTACGAAATGACCCCTGCTGGAAGCTATCCAGGCTTTGCTGTGAGAAACCCCAGGAGGTCCAGGAATGCACCACAAAGCTGTGGGGAAGCAGGAAAACCATTTCCCAACAGCATCAAACCCAAAGCAAATAAGCTTTGTGGAAATTGCCCAAGATAACAATTCCATTATAAAATCCCACTGATGGAAAGTTTTGTGCACCCCTAATTTCCCCCAAATCCTTAACTATCTTCAAGGTTGGAAGAAGTTTTGTAAATTATACAATTGAATCCCCAAACAAGCAGTGTCCCAGAGTGCTTAGCAAAATGCCTGTTCCAGCTGTTAAAACTAAAAGTCCCCAGCAGTCAAGTAAATTGAGAGGCTTTTCGGTCTTTGACCTTAATAACAAGACAAGAGATGAATCACTGGCACAAAGGCAGTACACAGGGAAGCATCACAAGGATGGGCATCTTGGAGTTGGGTCTTGTAAGCCAGAGATGATACTCCAGAGTGGATTTAACAGTACCTGATGGTATGCTTTACATTTATGTTATAAAACACTGAATTCATGTCTTGAACAGAGCCGATACACATGAATGAAAATTGCTCTGGTTGTTAAGATGAGTTCAGAATCCATTTCTCTATGTTTATTGATTTAATTAGACTTCTAGCCCACCCTCCCCTGTACCACAAGGCTCAGGGCAGGTGACAACACGTTAAAACAATAGCATAATTCGTTATTAAAACAATTTCATAAGCAATCAAAGATAAAATCAGATGGCAACACAGGCACTAGTACAGTTTATCTAGATGAGGTTGTGCAAGCGGTGTGCTTGTGAAAGCTGGAACACAATGCAATGAGTGGTGGCGGGGGGGGGAAGATTGGGGGAGGCCAAATTTTTTGGGAACTTCACTGCCTCAACCATATGCCTGGTGGAACATTTCTGCTCTGGCTCAAGTTGAGGCAAGATGAATATTTTTGGTGGCAGGGATCACTAGAAGGTTGTTGTTCATAGAGCGCAATGCTCTCTGAGGGGTGTACCAGGACAGACAGTCCTGAAGATATGTTGGTCTCAGACCATGTAGGGCTCTGAAGGTTATACATACATATATTTATAGTATAAGTATACCTGTAGGGCTTTGAAGGTTATTATACACACTGCCATACTGAGAAGTGGTTCTGTACTTTCTCTACTGCAGGGGCACATCCGGGTTTAGGGACAGGGTTGCCAGCTCTGAGTTGGGAAATTCTTGGAGATTTGGGACTGGAGCTTGGGGAGGGCGGGGTTTGGGAAGCGGAAGGACCTCAGCAGGGTATCATGCCAGAGAGTCCACCCTCCAAAGCAGCCATTTTCTCCAGGGGAACAGGTCTCTGCAGTTGGGAGATCAGCTGTAACTCCTGGAAACCTCCAGGCCCTGAGTGGAGGTTGGCAACCCTACTTAGTGCAGGGGTAGGACATATAGACAGTGTCCCATTTTCAGTCTGTGCAGTCTCCAGTGACAGGATCTTGGTGAGAGGGCTGGGAAAGATTTACGCCCAAGAACATTGGAGAGCCATCAGGGTAGTTAAGGAGCTATATTGACTAATGGGAATGCCTCAGCATCAGGCAGCAGCACAGTGCGTTTAATACGTTAAGAAAGGTGGTAGAACATATTTCTGTAAATAAAAAGGGCACATACTAGAAGGCCCAACCATAGTCCCATGAATGTGGTCTCCAGTCCTCTGGTCCCAGGTTAACAGTTGCCTGGAAAACTTGAGTGTACATCATGTGTGCCACCATCCCAAGCAGGCCTAAGCGGAAGCAAAAAAAAAAAAAAGTTATCCAGCTGAGGCCACAATGAAAGATCAGAATGACCATTTACAAACATTGCTTCTCTCACCCTCTATTAGAGCTATTAGAATCATACCCTATTATAATCTGAAGTTTTAGGAAACCCTTCTTTAAAGCATATGATCATTAACATCGAATTAACATTGGATTGCCTGGCCCCTAAGGGTGGAACGTAGCACCAAACACAGCTCTAGGATAAGATCAAGGGTAGCTATGTGAGATAAGACCTCTCTTTTCTCGTTTGAAACTTGTCGGTAATTTGTTGTAAATTGTTCATATTTTATTGTAATTTATTGTTTTAAATCATATTGTATTGTTTTAACATGGCACTTAGTGCCCTGTAAGCTGCCCTGAGCCTTCGGGGTAGGGCGGGGTATAAATTTAAATATAAATAAATAAATAAATATCTGTTAACTTTTGCTCCCTTTGGGTCCTAGACCCCTCCCCCCCCCCGATTTCCTTTCTTATTCTGATGTACTGTGGGTATTTCTTTATTCTTCTCCTCACAGTTGTATTATTCCCTTTGCCTTTAAATTCCCAGCTGCTCAGGTGGAAATTATCATTCTGTGTCCAGCCTATGTAGTATTTAACCCCCCCCCCCCCCCCCCCCCGGTTTCCATCAGGGAGTACCTTCCTTATCCATCAATCTAACAAGGATTTAAGTATCTACAAATGGGGCTGTGCTGAGAATCAATATATATAATTCTCAATGAGGCCCCATTTGTGGATACTTAAATCCAGAGATTGGGGCCATAGATAGACAAGACAGATCTTTTTACAAACCTGATCAAAGCCTCAGGTTTACAGCAAAATCTGAAATCTAACAAAAATACTTTGGGGCATTACCCTCACCCCAATGATGGAGCAAATGCCTGTAGCTTTAAGAAATAAATGTCCCCAGTGACTTTTGGTTGGCAGTATTATTAGCTGTTAAGCCTTGGTTTAGGGTTGCCAAGTCGTTTTCTTGCCGCAGCAGAGGACTCCTGGCTGGCGGCTGGAGTGCGCGCGCATGCCACACGCACATCACCCAGAAGTGACGTGACACAACCGGGCACGCTGGGGCGGGGCCACAACCATCTGAGGGAAAACCATAGAGTTTTCCCTCGGATGACCGTGGTCCCGCCCCCAGCGTGCCCGGCGGCATCACGTCCCTTCTGGGTGACGTGAACGTCGAGGTGGGGTTCCCCCCAGGGCCTGATCCACCAGCAGCGGGGAACGGGCCTCTGGGGCGGGGTTTTCCCCACCCCTGGGGGGACTTGGCAAGCCTACCTTGGTTTCTGTCATTAAAAGGCAGGGGGAAGGACCCTTTCAAGGGTTCTTTTCTCTGAGGGAGGACTCATAGTGCCAGGCTTGGCAACAACCACTGGGCAACCTGATACTGTATAACTCGCATGTCTCACCCAGGCCTGGCTTCTTGCTATTGTTGAACAGCAGCCACCCCATGAAAGCCAGAGTGGTGCAGTGCTTAGAGTCTAAGACTAGGACCTGGGAGACCCAAGTTCAATTCCCCACTCTCTTGTGGAAGCTCACTGGATGACTTTGGGGCAGTCACACACTTTCAACCTACCTCACAGGGTTGTTCTGAGGATAAAATGTAAGAGAGCTCCCCTTTGTGGAGAAAGGCAGGGTATAAATGAAGTAAATAAATAATTTATACAGCTGAAGATAAGAGGACAGATAAAAGGTCGGCTGGTTGGTGCACTTGAAGGAGAAAAGGAAGCAGGGAAAGTTGTGGGTAGGGAGTCTGCCAGAAAGAGTGTGGGAAGTGGATACGGGGAGAGTGAGTGTCTCTGGCAAGTCCTTGCGGGTTTCCCTCCCTGGGGACTGGCACTGCACAACTCAGCCAGAGCTTTTCTTGGGAAAGGCTGCCTGGAGGGGGAAGAAGGGAAAGTTGATGGCAGGGGAGTAGGCTGGCAGGTGGGTGGGAAGGAGAAAAGGAAGTAGGAAAAGGGGGTTTCATCAAAGGGAAAGAAGAAATAGTGGGGGAGAAGAGAGTGAGACACTCCTTGCAAGTCTTTGCAGGTCCCCCACTTGGACTATACATTTTAAAGCAGATAGGTACCTACCTGACAATACTGAGGAGACAGCAGCAAAGGCATTGAGCTTGAGTCCACAAACTGGGTTTCCTCTGTACATCATCTCCACCAAGAGGAGGATTAAACTAATGAACAACAAGCTTATATAAACCATCTCTGATCCAAGTGACAACCAAAGGATTCCTATTGTGGACACAGACAAAAGAAATCACTCAACATTATAATGTGGCATAGCAGGTTCTCTTTCTCCTGTTCTCTTTAAACTAGTGGGGGTAAGGAAGATTTTGGAACAGGCCTGCACAACTTGTGAAACCCCCCAGGATTAATGTATCTCACCAGCCATGAATGGGAGCCTGCCAGGTCTTTGATAGAACCGGGGGTCATTTCCTGCAGGAGCGCACAGGAGCAGAGCTCCGGCAGTAAAGAGCCCAGGGGGTGGGCACATGCAACAAGCCCCACCCTCTGCTCCCAGCAGCCCTCAGTCAGAGCAAGAAGCATCCAGGTAAGTTGCAGAGCTCCCCCCAGCCCCCCCGTGCCAAAACAATCCAGTGGCACCTTTAAGACCAAGTTTTATTCAGGTACAAGCTCTCCCTCCTCTGCGAGGACAAATCTGCATGCCCCCCCCCCCAATAGCTAGCAATCCCAAACAGTCCAGTGGAGCCTAAGCAGTGGGTGTTGCCTTCTGACACACTTCTGGTGATGTCAGGGGGTGTGGCATATGCAAATAAGTTATGCTAATGAGATATGCTAATGAACTCCTGCACCTCTTTTTCTATGAGATGACCCCTGGATAGAACATTCTATTTGCACTTCCAAGCAGGCAGTGAAAGCAAGTGGCTGAGCAAAACCCTAACCAAACACTATAGGTGATTGGCGGGCTGTGTTATCTTAGCTCAGGGTAGGCTGATGAATGAATGAAGAAAAGAAGACCTTTTAAGGATCTCTGGGTATTTGTAAACCTCTAATAATGAACTGGCAGCCTTTAGGGAAGCACCCAGAGAAAATACTCTGCACACGCTGTTACCAGGCTCCCCTGCCTGAAATGCAAGCAACTGGAAAGAGCAGGATTTGGGAACAAAAAAACGGATGAGTGAAAATTGGCTTGTAAGCAGAAGAGAAAGAGGAGGGGCAAGCTCCACCAAGTGTAACCTTGACCAAAGCAGTGGGGAAGGGGAGAATACTTGGGGAGGTTTTTTGCAGGTTTCCACTTGTAGTTAATAAAATACAATCCCTTTTCTGGACTGCTGGATCTTTTCTTCAAAGTATGTATGTGCTTTCTCTGAAGTTCAAAACTGATTGGTCAGCCATATTTTCATTGCTATTTTATACACCAAAACTAGGTCATTTTTTTACAGGCAGTTCTGATGAAACGGGAAACAGGAGAAGCCAGGGTTCTTTATATCAAAAACCACAAGACAGACATATTACAATATTGCTGCAGACTTCAGAGCACTGGATGAAGACGAAAAATAGTGTGTGCCCAAACGTATCCTTTGTATTTGGTTGCAAGATCTTGCCTGTTCCTAAAGAGTATATGAGCCAAAGCAGGCCAATAAAAAACGTTTGTTCTTACCTCTCTCAGCTGGCGGTGAAAGTTCAATGAAGCTGCGACATTTCTCATCTAAAATAAAATAATAATAATTACAAACAGATAAACACCAAGAGCATAACACCTCTGATATAACAACTGTAGAAAAAATGAGAAGGGTCAGTCACTAGAGGTCGCCATGACTACCAGGTGCACACATGCACGCACATATGAAAAATACACACACACCCCCAAAAGAAACATTCTGGGCATTGAGCAAATAACACCAGCTCAGCTCCAGAAGACAGTGTTGCTTGGAACAGCAAGAATCCTGTGAAGATACCTCTGCAGTCCCCAAGAACTTGGATAGATCTTGAATTGCAGGACACTATATCTACCATTCAAATATCTGACTGTGAATAATAATGATAATTTATTTTATTATTATTACTACTACTACTACTACTACTACTACCACCACTACTACCACTACCACTACTACCACCACCACCACCACTACTACTACTACTCCCAGGCAATGCAAGCGGGAAAGGTCAGTTCACCTAGATTACTTCCTCAATCTAAATTATGTTCATACATGGTATTTCTAGATTATATTCTTCTAGATTCTAAGAAGAATGGGATGTTTCCCACAATGTAGGAAGGGCCAGTATCCATTTGTATGGCAGACTTATTTCTCCCCTGAAATACCCAGCTCGATTTTAAGAAACAGATCAATTGTGTGGCTTTCAGTATGGCAAATGTGGTTTCCACACGGGAACAGGCTCATGTGGTTTCCTGCTGCCGATGTGGCTGCTGAATCAGCTCAGTCGCAGTGGGACTTCCACATGGCAGGTCTCCCCACAGTTTCCTTGCCAGCAGCCATCCTCTCTCCTCTGAGCCACTAGGGTGGTTTGGTGAATTTCCAGCCTTTTTAAACAGTCTCTCTATCCCCCCCTGTTGTGGAGATATGCCTTTCTCCTTATATCTCTATGATGGAAGGAGCTAGGGAATTACTTTAAAAATGAAAGTTGGAAATTCACAGAACCTGTTACACTTGTTATAACAGTATCTCAAAATGAAACCACTAATTTAAAAACAAAAAAGCCTCTAGTAGTGGGCGGCTGAAATGGATGCTGCAGGGACAGAGTCAGGGAGGGTTGCCAACTGAGGTTGGGAAGATCCTGGAGATTTGGGACTGGAGCCCGGGGAAGGTAGGGTTTGAGAAGGGGAGTTCTCTTGGCAGGGTATAATGCCATAGAATCTACCCTCCAAAGCAGCCACTTTCTCCACAGGAACTGATCTCTGTCATCTGAAGAGCAGCTGTAATTCTGGGAGATCTCCAGGGCCCACCTGGATATTAAGAGTCCTAGGGTAAGGGAAATGGCTAGCATGTGCGAAGGAAAATCTGAACTTTCTCACCAACATGGTGATCACCCTGGCTTTACTACAATCATTACCAAAATTTTGCAGTGTAAAGGAGGTTTAAGAAAGAAAGAAAAGCTGCAGAATCCCCAGGAGGTACATGAATGCACCACAATTAGGGATGCTAGGCCTCCTGCAATAGTAGGAGACATAGAATCATAGAATCATAGAGTTGGAAGGGACTTCCAGGGTCATCGAGTCCAACCCCCCGCACAATGCAGGGAATTCACAAATACCTCCCCCACACACCCCCAGTGACCACTGTTCCACACTCAGAAGATGACAAAAAAGCCTCCAGGATCTCCAGCCAATCTGGCCCAGACAAAAATTGCTTCCTGACCCCAAAGTCCAGCATTTCCCTGGGTGTGTAAGAAAGGGAAACAGCAAGGTATGTCTTAAGATTTCAAGGCAGGGGTCATTTCATAGAAAAAGAGCTAGGGTAACTCATTAGCATAACTCATTAGCATATGCCACACCCCCTGACATCACCGGAAGTGTGTCATAAGGCCACACCCCCTGCCATCACCGGAAGTGTGTCATAAGGCCACACCCACCACTCGGTTAGTCTTAAAGGTGCTATTTGTTAGTCTTAAAGGTGCTATTTGAACTCTTGGACTATTTTGCAGCAACAGACTAACACAGCTAATTCCTCTGAATCTAAACCCACCACTCAGGCTCCACCACCAAAATCTCCAAGGTATTGCCAACTCAGAGCTGGCGAGCCTATCTGATGGCACATGTGGGGGAAAACAAGCAAACCACCCATGTCAGGTTAAAAGGATAGAAGTTCAACACAATTTTATCTATTTTCAGTAACTGGTTTGTTGAGAGAAAAGCAACAAGAAGCACATCAGTGAAGACCTAGTACCAGAGTGCCAAAAAGGAAAGCTGTTTGGTAATAGATGAAGTACAAAATATGTAGCTATTCACATTCCAGTTACCAGGAGTGTTCCCTCTAAGCTGAGTTAGTGTGAGCTAGCTCACAGCTTTTAAGCCTCTGGCTCACATATTTTTCTCTTCACTCAGGAAGGAGGGCTCCAGAGGCAAACTAACTGATGCAGTGGCCAAATCACTCGCTCACAGCTTTAATGCCAGTGGCTCACAAAGTAGAAATTTTGCTCACATGACTCCACAGCTTAGAGGGAACATTGGTAGGCAATTCCAGGGAGAAAAAAC